GGCTCTGTTCTGGCCTTTTGGAAGTTTCCAGGGGGTTCCTCGGGGCGCCGGGGGCCCGAAGGTTTGACATGTCCGTTCTGGTACCTCCTCTGGGCCCCCTCGGGGAGCAGTCCTGAGGCCGCCTTGGCCAGTCTTGGGGGTCCTGGGACCGTCTTGAAATTTTCTGGGGCTGTCTTGCAGCCTTTTTGGGGGCCTCTTCAGTGGTCTCGGGGCGATTTCTGGAGCCTCTTGGGCCGTCTTGGGCGCTGCGAAATCTGAGGGGGGGAGTGCGTTACCAATCTGCGTCTTGCGAAGGGAATGGGGCGATTTATGCCTCTTGGGGCTCTCTTCGGAGGCGTCTCTTGGAGCCTCTTGGGCACTCTTGGGTCTTCCCCGAGGCGCCTGGGGCCCGCGGGTTTGAAATGTCCGTTTTGGCACCTCTTTTGGGCCCCTCGGGGAGCAGTCCTGAGGCCGTCTTGGCCGGTCTTGGGGCTCCTAGAACCGTCTTGCGGCTCTCTGGGGTTGTTTTGGAGCCTTCTCGGGGGCCTGCCTCTTCGGTGGTCTTGGGGCCATTTTGGGAGCCCCTGGGGCCGTCTTGGACGTCGCGAAGGCTGAGGAGGCGAATCGGGTAAGACGCTGCATTTTACGAAAGGAATGGAATGTTCTTTGCCTCGTCGGGCTCTTTTTGGAGGCGTTTTAGAGGCACCTTGGACAATGTGGAGGCCTGTGGGGCCGTCCGGAGGTCATCTTAAACGTCTGGGAGCGATCTGCGCGCGACTCGAAGCCCTCTGGAACCTCTTCGAAGCGCTCCTGGAGCGATCCAGGAGCTGCCTGCACCGCGCCCAGGAGTTCCACCATCTCTGACCCAGAGCCTGCCATGTGTCCGCCCGGACACTTTTCGCCCGGGGGCCCCAAGGGGGGCCGCCCCGCGCGCGCGAAGCAGGGTATTCTAAAGCTGCTACCAGAGATCTCGGCACGCCTTTGGCCCGTTAGGCCTGCGAATTGTCATTAGCTACGTATTGCCCGATTGATCTTTGCGCTGCGCGCTCGAGAGCGCGCGCGCACAGTCCGAGACGCGCGCTGTCTCTCGCTGCGCCATGCCGTCTCGAGGCCTCCAGGACACGTTGGCTTTCGCCGTTCAGTTTTCGAAGTCGAGTCGGCCACGCCCGATGGGCGTTTGTTCCCCTCGAGGGAGGGGGAGCGCGCGCACCCGCGCGCGCGCAATGTGACGCATGTCGTCTTACAAGTAGTCAAATCATATTGCGGCCCTATGAACGCAACTGAAACGGCTGCTTTTTCATCGTCTAGGTTTTGAAAAGGGTCGCGACCATTCCACGTGCATTCGACTTGCGGGGGCGCAATGAGAAACGCATAGAAACGCGCGTCGTCTTACAGTGCGTCATATCATGTTGCATAGCGCGCGGGAGCGCGCGCAATGCGGGCCGCCCGCGCGGGTTCTGCCCCGGGCGCTCCTGGGGCCGGCGTCTGCAGCGGGCGACGCGGGCGGCAGGTCGGGCGAGGGGCGCGGCTAATGACGAGAGCCCCGTGCGTTTCTCATGATTTGGACTCTGGCTAGGGGCAGTCGCATCTAGTCCTTGCAGCGCCCCGCCCTCGCGCGAGTCACTCGGTTCCTGGCGACCGATGCAGGTCCCTGAGCGGCCGGGGGGGTTCGAGAATGTTTTCGTTTGCGCGTTGAGTTAGCACGATAATGCAATGCCGTTCCTTGCGCGGCGCGGCGCGAAGTTCACGTGCGCGCCCAGGAAGAACTGAGGACGTGGCAAGGCCCAGTTCCTCGCGCGAGCCCCTCGGTTCCTTGCGTTCGATGCAGTGTCGAAATTGGCCAGGAGGCCCCCGTTGGGGAGCTCGTCATCCGCGCATATCCGCGCGTCCAGCTTGGAGAAGCATATCCATTTCTAGGGCCGCGCTCGCCAGTGTCGCCTGTTTCTGTTTTTTCCCAACCCTCCTTGGTTGGGTATTCGCTTTGAATAGAGCAGTGTGGGCTCCACTTCCTCCTTCCCGTCCCGCCTCCCTCTTGCCTCCTCCTGTCTTGCCTGCGGGGGGCTGCGATCTGTGAAACTGTCGCCACTTTCGAGGCCTGCTGGGGGGCCCAGAACGGTGACGCCACGGGCGGATTCAAATTAGACCTCGCCATCCCTGGGGGGCTGCGATCTGTGAAATTGTCGCCACTCTCGAGGCCTGCTGGGGGGCCCAGCACAGTGACGCCACGGGCGGATTCAAATTAGACCTCGCCATCCCTGGGGGGCTGTGATCTGTGAAACTGTCGCCACTTTCGAGGCCTGCTGGGGGGCCCAGCACAGTGACGCCACGGGCGGACCCAAATTAGACCTCGCCATCCCTGGGGGGCTGCGATCTGTGAAACTGTCGCCACTTTCGAGGCCTGCTGGGGGGCCCAGCACAGTGACGCCACGGGCGGATTCAAATTAGACCTCGCCATCCCTGGGGGGCTGCGATCTGTGAAACTGTCGCCACTTTCGAGGCCTGCTGGGGGGCCCAGCACAGTGACGCCACGGGCGGATTCAAATTAGACCTCGCCATCCCTGGGGGGCTGCGATCTGTGAAACTGTCGCCACTTTCGAGGCCTGCTGGGGGGCCCAGCACAGTGACGCCACGGGCGGATTCAAATTAGACCTCGCCATCCCTGGGGGGCTGCGATCTGTGAAACTGTCGCCACTTTCGAGGCCTGCTGGGGGGCCCAGCACAGTGACGCCACGGGCGGATTCAAATTAGACCTCGCCATCCCTGGGGGGCTGCGATCTGTGAAACTGTCGCCACTTTCGAGGCCTGCTGGGGGGCCCAGCACAGTGACGCCACGGGCGGCTTCAAATTAGACCTCGCCATCCCTGGGGGGCTGCGATCAGTGAAATTGTCGCCACGTTCGAGGCCTGCTGGGGGGCCCAGCACAGTGACGCCACGCGCGGACCCAAATTAGACCTCGCCATCCCTGGGGGGCTGCGATCTGTGAAACTGTCGCCACTTTCGAGGCCTGCTGGGGGGCCCAGCACAGTGACGCCACGGGCGGCAAATTAGACCTCGCCATCCCTGGGGGGCTGCGATCTGTGAAACTGTCGCCACTTTCGAGGCCTGCTGGGGGGCCCAGCACAGTGACGCCACACGCGGACCCAAATTAGACCTCGCCATCCCTGGGGGGCTGCGATCTGTGAAACTGTCGCCACTTTCGTGACACTACGCGCGGACCCAAATTAGACCTCGCCATCGCTGGGGGGCTGCGATCTGTGAAACTGTCGCCACTTTCGAGGCCTGCTGGGGGGCCCAGCACAGTGACGCCACGCGCGGACCCAAATTAGACCTCGCCATCCCTGGGGGGCTGCGATCTGTGAAACTGTCGCCACTTTCGAGGCCTGCTGGGGGGCCCAGCACAGTGACGCCACGCGCGGGCCCAAATTAGACCTCGCCATCCCTGGGGGGCTGCGATCTGTGAAACTGTCGCCACTTTCGAGGCCTGCTGGGGGGCCCAGCACAGTGACGCCACGGGCGGACCCAAATTAGACCTCGCCATCCCTGGGGGGCTGCGATCTGTGAAACTGTCGCCACTTTCGAGGCCTGCTGGGGGGCCCAGCACAGTGACGCCACGCGCGGACCCAAATTAGACCTCGCCATCCCTGGGGGGCTGCGATATGAGATCCCCGCTTTCGAAGTGGCTAGGGTTGCTCAGGGATTGTAACTAATCAGCTTTATCTAGTCCTTGTCCTGTAGCCAGTGTCCTGCGAGTCTCCCGAATTCCGTCCGCAGACATAGTTAACCCTTGCTTCGTCATCGCCTACGTATAAAGTGTCCTAAACTATTTGCGCCCCGCGTTTGCGCAGGGGTTGGGTACGTCGCCAGGGTAATTTTGTAGAGCGCGTGCCCCCGTTCCTGGGGCTTTGGCAGCGAGATGGGTTGGGTCCAAAACGTGGGGCAGAGGGAACGCATCCAAAAAGGGGTTCGGTCGTTCCTTTGAATGTATGATTTGATGTTGAAAAAAGGGGCTTCGTTCCTGATTACGCATTCCATCTGGCAGCGCCATGGCTGCACTTCAAGACCCCAGCGTTTCTCATGGGACTGTGGTGGCAGACGAGCTGGCGAAGGCAGGGGCGGGGAAAGCCGTGAACTTCATCAAGCCGCAGGTCACGGGGCTCAACGAATGGGAAATACTGGCACCCAATATACCAATGAGGGCAGCGGTCACCATCAGTCATGTCTTTGCTTGCACAAGGGACACGTACGTGATGAAACCGAAAGAGAAACGCAAACCGTTCAAGTTGGCCACTGCATGAGGAAGACCGATCAAGGTTTTCACACCTGGTATTGTACCACATGCAATCGCCCACCTGGGGGAGGCAACCTCATTATGTGGCTCAGGAACACGCAGTGTGCTGGGTGGGAACGCAAGCCGGAGTGCAACACACCGCTGCAGCTGTTTCCGACGCTGCAGGTGTCCAGCAAGTATTGTTTACATAACATCGAGCCGAACCACTATTGCATGGTGATGAACGACCAAGTGGTGTCAAGCGTGCGGAAGGTCGGGGCGCACTGCGCCGCAATGTGGCGGTCGTCTAGACAAGCTGGTGGCAAGTATGCCGAATAGCCAGGCCGCGATCGTGCGCAGGTTCGAACGCGGCGAGACTCCGAAGTCAGGTGTTGCGACGTGGCCGTCAGGTGAGCCCGTGAGACCGTGGGAGCAGGCACGGCGAGCTCGCCGCAAGAGGTGAGCCGCCCCCTCCTGAGCATGCAGCCCGCCATCCGCCTGTTTCTGACCCTGTCCGTTTGCTTGCCTGTCTGCCTGCGCATTCCCGAGGGCGTGGGCCAGAATCCTGCCAGTGTTGCTTCTTATTCTCCTCCTCCTCCTCCACCTCCTGTTCCTCCTCCTTCTCCTCCTCCTCCTCCTCCTCCTCCTCCTGGTCCTCCTCCTCCACCTCCTGTTCCTCCTCCTTCTCCTCCTCCTCCTCCTCCTCCTCCTCCTCCTCCTCCTCTGACCACGACGGCGACGACGACGATGGCAGGACAGCAAGGCGCCGCTCGGCGGCGCAGCCGCGGAGAAGATGTCGGCGCCCGCCTGCTTCGTCTGCTTGGATCGACCTTCCCGGTACGTCCTGGAGCCGTGCGGCCACAGGCCCGCGGGGGGAGGGCGGGAGGAGGGAGGCGGGAAGAGAGGAGAGGGGGTGAGAAGAGAAGGAGAGGCTGGAGGAGGGAGGAGGAGGGAGCGAGGGAGGGACGAGGGGGAGGAAGCGGGAGGAGCCCGAGGGAGGGAGGAGGGGAGCGAGGGAGTTCGGGGGGGAGGTCGAGAGGTCCTTGCTGCCAGGATCCTTGAGCAACAGTGTGGCGGTGTCTTAGACCCGTCACGCAGGGAGGGGAGAAGCGAGGAGAAGAGAGGGAGGACGGAGAGGGGGAGGGAATGTAAAGGAGGAGGGCAGATGATAGTGATAATGACGATGATGATGATGATGTTGATGATGATGTTGATGATGATTCTGATGCTGATGATGACGACGACGACGATGCTGATAATGATGACGAGGATGATGATGATGACGATAATGATGACGATGATGATGATGATGCTGATGATGATGATGATGATGATGATGATGATGGCGATGATTGTGATGATGGCGATGATGGCGATGATGATGATGATGCTGATGATGATGCTGCTGATGCTGATGCTGTTGATGTTGATGCTGACGCTGCTGATGCTGTTGATGATGACGATGGCGATGGCGATGGCGATGATGATGATGATGATGATGATGATGCTGATGCTGATGCTGATGCTGATGCTGCTGATGATGATGATGATGATGATGATGATGGTGATGGTGATGGTGGTGGTGCTTGTGGTGATGGTGATGGTGATGGTGATGGTGATGGTGATGGTGATGGTGATGGTGATGGTGATGGTGATGATGATGATGATGATGATGATGATGATGATGATGATGATGATGAAGCTGAAGTTGAAGCTGAAGGTGATGATGATGATGAGGAGGAGGAGGAGTGTAAATCCACAAGTCATCAACGATGTTGGCATTAACCCTGCCTCCAAGCTCCCTCTTCATAGGTCCCTACAAGGGTTCATTTCCACAGGGAACTGCCTCGTTGGAAGACAACCGTTTGAAGAGCCTGAAGCGTGCCAAAACATTGTCCTCGGGACATCAATGCCACGGATCACCATGACTGTTGCATTTTGATTGGCGATCCTGAATCGCGCCAGAACGCCATTCCTGGGATTTCAACACCGCGAATCAACGTAACTGTTGCACCTTCGTAAACCTGAATCTGTCCAAACCACCATTTCTGATACGTTGTCCGTGGGAACCCGTGAACATCTTGCAGTTTTTGACAAGGAATGTGCGCGGCGCTAAGGCGAGACCCACATGTTGAAAAGCAACCGCCTTCAATCCGTGAACCTTTTGCAAATGTTTAGAACGAGCGAACGCGGCGCCAAGGCGAGAGCCACATTTTGGAATCGGCCCGCCCTCAATCCGTGAAACTCTTGCACATGTTTAAAACGAATGTGCGCGGCGCCAAGGCGAGTTTGGAATCGGCCCGCCCTCAATCGGTGAGACTCTTGCAAATGTTTAAAACGAATGTGCGCGGCGCTAAGGCGAAAGCCACATTTTGAAAACCACCCGCCTCCATCTATGACACTGTTGCCGATGTTTAAGCTTCAGGGTCATAGCTGGTGAGGAAGTCTCAGGCCAAACGCCTGGCCCGCCCTTTCGACTGGCCTCGGGGTGCGACAGGGAGAAGTTATTTATCAGGAAAAGGAGTGAAGGAGGAGGAGGAGGAGGAGGAGGAGGAGGAGGAGGCGGAGGCGGAGGAGGAGGAGGAGGAGGAGGAGAAGAAAGAGGAGGAGGAGGAGTAGGAGGAGGAGGAGGAGGAGGAGGATTGTGAGGAGGAGGAGGAGGAGGATGAAGGCAACAAATCGATCAAAATCATCCTGGATCCCTCTCGAAGTCAACCCTGATCAGTTCTTCGAGCTGCATCCAGCCGTGCCCACGAGAATCTCCCAAAGCGCCCAAACGTTTTTGGAAACGACGACGACGACGACGACGACGACGACGACGACGTCTGGGACTGGCCAGGGTCGTGTGCAGCGAGTGCGCGGTGCAGCTGGTGGAGGCTGCTGCGCGGAACCGCTCCCTGGAACAGGCCTCCGCCGCCGCGTGCCGCCGCATGCCGCCGCATGCCGCCGCATGCCGCCGCATGCCGCCGCATGCTGCCGCCGTAGCACGCCGCACGCCGCACGCCGCACGCCGCCGCCGTCCGCCGCACGCCGCCGCGCGCCGCGTGCCCGCCGCCGTCGGCCAGGCCTCCGGCGGCGGCGGCCACCACTCGGAGCGGGGCGGCGCCTGCCCGAACTGCGGCACGGCCGTCGCGCGCGCCGTGCGGCTCTTCTCCTGAGGCGCGGCCGGCGCGGTGGCGGCGCGGCTGCCCGAGGCCCTCGGGGGCCCTGGGCGGCCCGGAGGGCGCGCGCGCGCGTTGGCGCTGGCCGGGGTGCCCTCGGGGGCGCCGGCCGGGGTGCCCTCGGGGTGCCCTCCTTTGCGGCTCTCCCTCCAGACCCCCGGCGTCGTGATTTCCGTCACAGCGTCGACCCCGCGAGGTCTGGACCCCTTAACCCGGGACCGGTTTTTCATTCCGAGTCGCTTCTTGACGGTCCCGAGGCCCAGGAAGGCCTCCAGAGGCCGACAACAGCGAAAAGCCTCCCGTCGTTTTTTTTGGCCACGACGCGAGGAGGTCTGGGTTTGCGGCTCCCCCCTTCTCCCTCGGCAAGGGGAGGGGCGCTGGATTTCTGGGCAGCGGGGAGCCCCTGCTCGACGGAGGCGCGCGACGGGAAGGGGCCCACGCGACGGGAGGAGGAGGAGGAGGAGGAGGAGGAGGAGGAGGAGGAGGAGGAGCAGGAGGAGGAGGAGGAGGAGGAGGAGGAGGAGGAGGAGGAGCCATCATCAACCATCAGGGAGAATGGGCAGGCCTCCGTGTCGGCGGAGAGCGCTGTTGTGCATTTGCCGCATTTCGCCCATCGACCGTCCCGCGCCTCTCTCGAGGAGCAAACACTGCATAAACATAAGATCTCGGAGGTCGCTCGGATCTCTTGGGTCGGCGCTGATCCCCTTCATTGCAGGCGCCTTCGCGCGCTAGAGGAGGGGTCTAGACACGACACAAGAAATTTGCTCGCATCTGCGGCAGTTTATGTTCATGCCGTTTGTGCTCTTCTAGACCTCGCACCTCCTCGCTGCGACCCCCCAGAGGCAGATGCAGCCTCGGACGCCCTCCACGACCAGCCAGGAGGGCGTTGCGGCATCCAGGGGGCATTTCGGCTTCCATGGCGGCGCTCAAAAGAGGCCAGGCTTCCTCCTCCTCCTCCTCCTCCTCCT